GGGGGGGGAGGGGGGGGGTATCATAAATTTATGCAATAAACAAGGAAATATTTGTGTACACAATTTTTTAACATGAGTTTCATAACATAAACCAATTCACCGATTTGACTCAAATTTGTATTGGGGAATTCGGTAGAACCACGGGAATGTTCTTAGTTTGGTTTAATCATTCTGTTTTTTTATGTTTTCTGAAAAAAAGTTTAATCCATGTAAAGCTGGGTTTCCAAGCTAGTGCTTAAATAATGTAAAATGTAAAAGCCAAAGATTGAACCCAAAGATTAAGTTTTACACGAGTTCAATAATTATGGATATTTGTTTTCAGTAGAAATCTACGTATTGTTTATAAGTGTCGCTAAGACCCCAAGTTTTAAATTTTTTTGTGTGAAACAATTTTGTATTTTATATTTTCGTATTTTATATTTTTGTATTTTATTATTTTGTATTTTATATTTTTGTATTTTATATTTTTGTATTTTATATTTTTGTAGGCATGTTTGCAGTGACTGTTCTGAAACAATCTGTAGGACATGTATTTCAAGAATTGACAAAATAACTCATCTACCCTTATGTACTCATTGTAACAGCACAAGGTATGTATTCATGCTTACATATTTTTTAAGATAAAAATGCATGAACAAAAACTGAATTGTCCTAACGGACAGTTGAGTGATAGTATTGATGAAATACATACAATTCAGACAAAGCTTAAAGGGAGTGACCGGCTATGTAAGGTAGTTGAACTGAGTATGCAGTGTTGTGGAAAACTTCTTTCGGATTCATTTGAGAAATATCTAACTTTTTAAAGATCTGAAAATCCTGAGTTTAAGCGCAAAATCGACGTTCAAAACTCCTACTTTGGGGCTGGATACATTTTCAGAATTAGTTTTTTTTAATTATTAAATAACGACGACATAAAATGTAAAAAGTTCTGCAATGTTGAGAAAATAAAATTAATCTTATCATCGAAAATAAGTAATCTTGTTCAATTATTAGTTTCTATTATCTCATTATTCTAGTTTCTCGTTATTCACAAAGATTTCTGAAGATTTTCTAGAATTATTATTGAAAAGACGACATTTGAAGAATTTGAAGAAATTCAAAGAAAATAAGAAATTCAATATAATAATGAAAACGAAATAATCGATTTTAGCATTGATTTATTGACAAATTTCTTTTAAGAAATATGTTCCTAACCATCTAATTAGATTACTGAATAATTTTTACTATATTTTGTCGTTGTCGTTATTTAATAATTAAAAAAACGTATCCAGCCCCAAAGTAGGAGTTTTGAACGTCGAATTTGCTCTCAAACTCAGGATTTACAGATCTTTACAAAGTTTAATATGTCTCAAATGAATCCGAAAGAAGTTTTCCACAACACTGCATACTTAGTTCAGCTACCTTACATAGCCGGTCACTCCCTTTAAGAGATATGCAGCGACAGCAGAGTGAAGAATAAAAGTGATTTAAAGTAGAGCGTTAAATTTCAGAATTTCTGATGTAGAAGGAAAGTGTAGATTATTGAATAATCAAAAAGTTTTGCAAATACTTTATAAATATTTCAAAGGTGTACTCATAGATAAAGATAGATTGGGCATAAGACGACATTTTTCATCTTGAAAGATATAAATGTACAGAAATGTTTTAAAGATATTCCTATTATATAGATTAACTAGGACGGTTGTGAACATTGGCTGTTCGTATGTCATTGAGTACTTGTAGTGTACATGAGTTCTGTAGAGAGAAATTTAAGTTAGTTTAGTCCTTCTCATGTCCATCTTCAGTATGATATATTGCTCAGTGAAATATTGTTGTTCAAATAGTTCCTGAGTGGTTTAATAATTATGAAATCAATTAAAACACCAAACCACCCCGTTTATCATTGAAGTACACTTTGACCCCTAGAAATATGAGTTCGCGGACTGTACAATTCTTGATGTTTATTTCTTTATCTATGGGAGTACTTAGTTTTATTAATTGTTTAAATGTATCTAAGATTTTGATGTACTCCACTTAAATTCGGATTTAAAACATCCAAAGCAGTTTAAACTTCAGTTTCTCTTTGGATGATAATGATAAGAAACATGATGCTTATTTGACCGGAAATTAATAGATAATTCCACGGGAAAATTTACATCATTCGATAATTATTCCAACAAATTTCCTTCTGTGAATTACATCGGTTTTACCTATATATTCACACTTTATTTATGTTGATCATATTAGTTCATTAGGATTTGTATTATGCAACCTGATGGTGTAAACCTTTGGTATTTCAAACTTACACATTTTGAGTCTTTGTAATCGAGTCTTTGTCGCAAACTTAGATTTTCAAATATCTATATATTTGCAACCAAATTTCTTGTACCTTAGATATTTCAAACTATGAATTCTGTTAGATATAGTATGAAATATCAAGGGTTTCCACCATCGGGTTGCCAAGATATAGGGATTAGAAAATTTGAGTTAGCGGCAAACTCAATTCCTTTAATTCATAGTTTGAAATGTCAAAGGTCTACAACAGTTGGTTGCAAAGATACAGCGATTAAAAATTTGACTTTGTTATAGGAAACACTCAATTCCCGTAAAAGATATTACAGCATAATTTTTGTATATTTTGTATTCTCATGATTTAGCTTATCTTTCTTATCTTTTCAAATTAACATAAAAAGTTCGTTTGATTTCAGTCTCACATGAATATTATAAACTGAATGTTTTATAAAATATCTAGTAATACTTTAAAGGCATGATTGATAAATACTCAGAGCCCGCGATTAAAAAAAAATTGGGAAAATACGGCTCGGGTCAAAGCTGTCGTTGAGCCTTACTTACGGCTTGAGCCTTCGGATTCAAACTGCATCTTATTTTCCTCCGAGTTGAGTACAAAACACCGGTTTAATATTCTATTTGGCGGATTTTCACGATTGTAATTGGCACATTCCGGGTTTTGATGGGAACAAGACTCAACATTGAGCCTTAAACTCCACTAAAACCAACCAAGGTCGGTTTTATTTTCATTAGGCCTAACTCCTTAAGTCGAGCCTAGGATCTTGCACCAATGAATCACGTGACACAAGCTGTCGTCAGAGTTGGGTCGAAGATTGGGTCTAAAAGTCGGGTTTAAGGAATTACGGCTCGAGCCGAAGCTTTTAAATCGGTGGCTTTGATCAAATATTAAAAATGTTTATAATTACTATCTTTAAAACTTTGACAAATGAAAATTCAGCTGCTCTAATTTCCATAAAATATTCAAATTATTTTTTTCTTTCTTAAAATCATTTTTAATGATATTATATTTTTGAAAAATTATTTGTGTGTGTTTATTTATCCCTGTATTTTCCAAGTAAAGGTGAAGGCATGTCTTCCCGTCTTATTTATTACAATTTCTTCAGTCGGTGAGAAACCACGTAGCGCGCAGTGGCCTGTGCGTGTACAGCTCTTTTGAAGCATCCGTGACGCGCAGATAGAGAGATAGTGAAAAATGAGTGTTTTGTGATGAATAAGATAATTTTTGAAAAGGTGAAAAAAGGTCAATTTATTGAATATTTAAAATTAGTTCGGATCTTTTAACGTATGCTTTATTGTCATTATTCTTTGTACAACAGCTGTTACATATCCTTAAAATGAAACTTTAAGACCTCCCAACATACACTCTATCATCATTCGTTTAGAAACAGACATTTGGTATATATGGTTTATTGGGAAACAAGCTATACAAATAAACAACAATATATTTAGTTTTGATAATATTAATATCTTTGTAACCTTTTCTGTAAAATAATGATATCGAAAGATTTATTTTGAATGTTAAAAAAAAAACTAATTACATTTTTAATTTGAAATATCATGTGGTTGAGGCTTAATCTACCCAACTACTCCACTCCTCCTTCTCTTCCATAAAAATTCATTATGATCTTTTACTAATAATTTTTCTGACGTACGTATATAACAAAAAAAAAAACAATATCCTTACACTCTTCCTAGATTCCAAACCTTTAGTTTTCTGAATTTTTCTTTCATTCTTTCATGGCCCTTATCCTTTTATCCTTTTATCCATTTTTTCTTTATTTAGCCTTTCCTGTTTCTATTCTTTAGCTCTTTCATCCTTCATCCTTTCATCCATCCTTTCTTTTTTATCCCTTCATGTTTTTCTATTCTTCGTCTTTTCATCCATCCTTTCTTTTCTATTATTTCATTCTTTGCTTTCCTTTCATTCTTTTATCCTTGATCCTTTCATCTATTCATCTTTAATTCTTTTCTATCCTTTCATATCCTATGTTATCCTTTCAATCTTTTATCTTTAATCCTTTCATTCTTACTCCTTTCATCTTTTTCTTCTTTCAACTTTTTTGCTTAAATTTACGTTTTTACATTGTTTACATTTTTCTTATCAAACTGATAAGCTTATCTTTTACTCGTTATAAATATATCAGAGGAAAATGTGAAATATTTATAACATTATACTATAATACTTGAAAAAATAAGTTGGCTCCCAGAAGATAAAGATATCCATTAAATAATTTATTTTCACAAACATCCTCCCCCCCTCCCCCTCTCCCACCACCACCACTACCTTCCTCCTAACAAAGATTGTTGACTTCATTCTCACAGATAATAGATCATATTGAAAGGAACCGTTCACTTATTTGGGTAAATTCATGGTAAACTAAATATGCAAAGGTATGATATATATCTTTGCATAGACACTACTTAAAAGTTTTTTTTTTCAGTAACAATAGCCCAATAAAATCTAAAATTATCATATTTCAATGACATCATGACTCAGCCGTTATATAATAAAGTACACAAATTTTTGATTTTAGAAATTAACGTTTTTCGTGTTTAAATATGATTTAACAAATTAACACGTTTATACAAAGACGACTTTCTTCCTCAAACAAAAAAAAAGGCATCAAATAGTGTAAATGCAAATGTATCATACATTTGTGCTGGAATTCTGAATGATAAATCGGCTTTTTCTCAGACCACAGCTGTCTTTGCTAAGTAAGACGAATATTAATGAATAGCGTTTTAGTTTACCCTCAAATTATCCAAATAAATTCTGAATATATAGAAAGTGATAATCTCTATTTAATGTTTGTTTGTTTGGTTGTCATATTACAACTCAAGAACTCCTTGACTAATTTGCCTCAAATTTAACTGGGGAACTCGATAGAACCACGGGAATGCTCATGGTTTAAAAATATGCTGAGTGGGTTGACTTTTTAAGAGAAGATTCCCAAGCTTGTTCTGAATGAGCTCATTACGATGATCAGATTTTTTCCTATGTCCGCCCCCCCCCCTCTACTTAGGGTTAGTATGGAGGGGGGGGGGGGGGTTGAGAATGATGTAATTAAGGGTTAAGGATTCTGGTGTGTAGAGTTCAAGGATGAATTAATATTATCTTCTGGGAAGAATTCTTTCTTCCTTTAGCTCTGGTTAGAGCTCGCTCCAGGTTCGTGTTAAAGGTTCAAGTTTCAATCCTTCTTCTCTCTCCAGGTCCTTTATCTAGCACAGTGCAGTCATATGGGTCTACAGGGCGTACCACAAAAGTATGAAACCTAAACCTAATATTACGAGTTGAAGGTTA